TTATTTTATTAAAAATATATTAATAAATTTAAAATTCAGATTATATGTTAAAAATATATTTTTATATATTTTATTTATTTTTTCTCCATTACGTAATCGTAATTTTGAATTTGAAACAGAGTCCCTCTCCTTCTTCCAAGTGAAGGGCAAACTTTTACACGTTCACATCATCGTCTTTCTTTGTTCTTTCTCCTTCGGTCAAAAGGCTGTACGGGTTGGAAGCGGCATTGGATCCCCTTATTTATACAGACCCTGTCAAGATAGACTCCGTAAAAGTTTGGGATTTGAATAATTGATGTTCAAAATTCATATCCACCGAGGGCACTATTCCCTCAACAAAAAAAAAAAAAAAAAAAATAAAACTCTAATTTTGTTTTTTTACTTTGAAAATAACTCATTTTTAGTATTTCTACTTAAAAAAACTCTTTTTTAATCATTAAAGTTTGAAATCCAACCCTCTTTTAAGGTTCTTCATTAAGTTTTTGTACACATAGCATATTAAATAATGAAAATTTCAAAATAAAAAGATAAAAAAAAAAGAGTTAAAAAAACATTTTTTAATCCATTTATTTTGATAAAAAAAACCCTTTTGAATCCTTTTACTTTGAAAAAAAAATCTTTTTTTAATCTCTTTATTTTGAGATTTTCATTAAAATAATGTGCTACAAGATAAAATTTAACGAAGAGATTAAAAAAAGTTGGATTCCAAACTTTAAAGATAAAAAATGATTTTTTTAAATAAAATGACTAAAAAAAGACTTTTATCAAAGTAGAGGGACCAAATTTAGATTTTAACCAAAAAAAAAAAGAGGACTCTTGGTATTGATTGGTCGTTGTGTTTGGCAAAACTTAGAATCAAACAAGAAAGAAGGGAGACGCGTAGCGTGAATTTGTTATTACTTCATTTATTTTTTGGATTCGACCTCAAGTTTCTTAGTTGGTTTTATCGATTTATTTATAAAATAATTTTTAAAATTTTTGTCTTAAAATTACAAGTTAATGGTTTATTTTAACTATAAATTTATATAAAAAATATAAAAATTAACATTAATTTTAATATCATTACTATTTAAGTAAATTTAATTTGATAATTTAAAAAATAAATGTCCACTTTCAATCTTTTAACACTATTTAAGGCACAAATTAGAAACGAAAACTCTATAAAATTAGTACTTTAACTGTATTGGAGGCTTGATTTAGATTTTGCTATGACAATAAATTTTTGTTAGTCACTCTTTTTAATTGAAAGTGTGTTATATAATCTTTTTAGGTACTTCTAACGTTTTCTTGCTTAAGACGTAAGTGTCACAAAATAGGGAAACATATCAGAATACTTTGTTTATGAGAACTAATGGTGTCTCTTGCTCTCATAATTAAATATCTAGTATCTTCCACAAAAAATATATGGGAAAACTGTTTTATAAAATAGATTGTATATAATTTATTTTATAAAATTA